GGCCGGGATCCGGGCCCGCGCTGCCGGGATGCGGCCGAGCTTGTTCATCCTGCTCTGCCCCTGGGGAAACTGAGGCACGGGTGGGTGGGGACGGCGGCACTCCCCGGGAGGGCTCGGCCGGGGCCCGCCGGCACCCGGCACAGCTCGGCCCAACCGGAGCCGCCGTGAGGGTCCCACGGACCTGCCCGAGGGGGTGTTCACGGACCCGGGGCTGCCCCCCGGGGACCGGCTGTGGGCAGGGGAGATTTGGGGTCCCCCTGGCCCACGGGGTGCTCCCGCCATCGCTCCTCTGCTCTCCCCGCAGCGCTCCGACCCTCGCCTGCTCTCCCAGTTCTTCTTCGCCGACGAGCGGGTGACGCGGGTGGTGGCCGAGATCAACGGGCTGGATGCCGAGCTGGACCCGCAGCAGTACCTGGTGCTCCTCAACCAGCTCCACCTCAGCCAGGTACGGGGACAGCCCGGGCCCCGGTGGGACCCCGGTCCCCCCGGGTGGCCCTGGGTGACGTCCCTGTCCTCCCCAGGCTCACCTGCTGGCCATCCTGGAGCGGATCATGGAGGAATGCATCCCCACGCAGCGGCACAGCCGCGATTACCTGGTGAAATTCCCCGAGGAACTCTTGGTGGACAACCTGGGGAACCATATGCTGTTTGCCGCCGAGGTGAGCCCGGGGATGCCGGCTCGGGGACGATGGGTGCCAGCCAGGACGGCGCACCCTGCCGCGGGTTGGCCCCGGGGGTAGGGGCTGTGCCGCCCCAGGCGCTGGCTCCTGATGGCCACCCTGGTCCTGGCAGTGTCTCCTGGCCGGGACCTTCCTGGATGTGGAGGAGGCGGACGGGGCGCAGCTGCGGCCCCAGGCCAGGAACCTGCTGTGCAGCCTGGAGCTGGTGCGGACGGTGCTGCGGGAGCAGAGCCTGAGCCAGCCCGGCTCCTACCCGGAGCCCGTCCGGGCTGTGCTCGTCCAGTTCGACCGGCTCTTTGCAGAGTTCGAGTTGAGGTGGGGGCCGGGGTTGGGGTGCTGGGGTGGGGGGGGGCTGGGCCGTGCCGGGGCGGGGCTCCCGGGACCCGCAGGG